TGCTGTGTATTTTAATCAATGATACAAAGACATTAGTTTATAGCATACTGTTCAGCCATACAGTATCATGGACCTTCCAAATCAAGCAATAATTATTAAATTATCAAGATCAATGCCAAATCTTATATTAACAACAATTTGCCAGGTGTCTTTATTGTGTTTTTTTCATTGTAACCTACTTTTATCAAAACTCAATCATCTATCCATTAAGGGAAATAAAAAGCAAGCTAAAGTTTCACTTACGAGAGGCTTCGTCGTGTTCCTGGGTCTGGCGTGGAGCAAATGGCTGACTGGCTAAATTGCGCAACGGGCTTCTAATCAAAAGCCCATGATTGCGCCAATGTGTAGACATTCTCACAGTGTGGCTTTATGATTGTTTACTACTCAACAGACATTGGTCATTTGGCAAGCTTAATGTTTCCCTGTCAACCACCTGTGTGCGTGTCACGTACGATTATTACTTGCGCATCATAGCTCGGAGACATGCAGCTTGCTCAATATCCACCCCCTCATCTTTAGTTATTCAATAACAAAAGATATTGTTAAAACATAAAAGACTGAATTCTGCAACATTTTGCTGCTATTGAACAGTCATAATGCTGTTTGATGAACCCATGATTTGACATCTCTAATAAGTTATCTAAACATAAACAATTACTAATTACCTGACACAATTGCACAAAGGGGCCGGATGTTTGGAGAAGCACCTTGATAGTTGAAACCAGGAATTGTTTTGAATGGCATTTGTGATTTGTATAAAATTACCTTTTCATTCTTAGCATTCAAAATACAAACTAATAATTCGCTTTTTGATGTATTCAGTTTTAATTTCAAATAATAAGCTTATTCATAGGATTAAATCTGAATGACATTCTGATGATTTAAGAATTGTATTAATCCTCCCGACATAATACATGTATCTCTTTAATAATCTGCAATCGAGAGATTGATAGACATAATTTAATCAGATAAATGGCTTATCTAGTTGAAAAATATTTTTTCGAACTCTTATTTTATATTTGTGTAGGCCTTGGTGTATATTATCTATATGGTTTTAATTTCCTCGCTAATGCCTGGGTCACATTTCTCGCGATTCATCGGCCGCCGATTGAGTATTTTGAAATAACTGAAACTGAAATATGTGTTGCAATCAAATGTTTCGAAAGCCATTCACCATGATTTAAGCAAAACATTTTTAAAGCTCTTTTTCAGACATTCAATCAATTTAAATCAATCAAGTTTGAATGCGATTGCATACATGTATTTGCAGATGTACGTAGTGTATCTTACTCACATTGTCACATAATAAGAGCTGTCATTTGACATGTAATACTGAGTTTTTTAATATTTTAATCCATTTGTTTATTATTTTGCGATAATTAAAGCTTTAATCGGGGATAGAGATTTCGACAAAGTACACGCACATTTAGTATTACAAGTCAAAAACCTTTTTACTTTACATCATAATCCCGGGATCATAATTTACTAGGAACCCAGATGCTAGAGGAAGCAGTAGATAAACTCACATCAAATACGCTAAATGAACCTATTGAAAATGTAATTGGTATTAAAATTCTCAATATTTTATTTCAACAAATGCCTTGATCTCAGATAATACTTTCCCATGGATTTAAAAATCATCCCAGAACTAATTATAGGTAACACCATCGTGCACAAGCCGTCTGATTGCATTACTCGATAAAATAACATCCTTAGAAGTGAACAATCCAAACATCTGATAATAATGTAGCTTAAGCCTCCCCTCCCGGTATCCATGCCCCGGATCCATGCCCACCTTGTTCAGTTGTATCCTTAAAATGTTGAACTACCTTTTGCATTCCTTCAGAGAAAATCGGTTAATTTCTGAATTTAACAGAAATTTAATTATACAATGTAGCACGGGGACTTACAATCATTACATACATGTAAACTTTCCTTGTAAAATAATTTTATGCGGAAATTTAGAACAACTGGCTATAGAAATTAATCCATTTAACTATAACAAACGGATTAATATCAGTGAGAACTTAACTCATTTGCTAGAATTGAATAATTAGGGATTAAAGTTTGGTATATTTCTCTGACATGTCAAAAGGTATTTTTGTAAGTTTGCTCTACGGCTACCATGCACAAAACTTATTAATTGATCTGTCAAATGAAACAGTTGCAATAAATGTGCCCGTTTCTTTATCGTTATTATCAAATTATCAATTGTGCGTACCAAATCTTTCAAATTTTGTGAATGTATTTGGGAATTGAAAACAAAGCAAGGTCCAATTCAAAATAGAAACAAGGGTATCTCTGATAAAATGCATAACAGAAAAACATGTATTGTGGAATATATTGTTTGCAAGTTTAACTCAGTAAAGTTACCTGAATATTTTATGTCCCCCAATTTCTTATAACACGATTGAGAAGAGACCGGGGCAATTCATCATATTACAGGCTCGTAGCCAGCTTTTGACTGGGGGAAGGGGGCTTTCAAAAAAAGATTCCCGGGTTTAGTCTCGTCATTCTCATATTATCAAGTTATCAAAAAATGATATTTTGATTCACAAAACTGCACCGAAACATTGAAAAGTACACGAAGGCAACCACATTTGCAATCTATAGTTCTCAAAAAGCAGGGTTATTAAAAGCCAGTTTCAAACTGATGTTAAAAAGCAGGTTTTTGAAACCCAGTTCCTAAAATTCAAATTAGAATACTATCTTTCTTTTCTATTTAAACTTAAATCAATTTATTATAAACAAACTATCCCGGGCAAACTATGACCAAGTGCATCGGGAATACAAAACTCCTGTAAATGAGTTATATAAATGAAATCAACACTGATTGAAACATAAACAATATAAAATCTTCTTTCGATTCCATTAGCTGTCATATTTTTTTCTAAATACCGGCTTTACCGGGAGGAATTTAACATGGCCGGGCTTTAATTCAAGGCAAGAATCACTTATTAAGCGGATTAAAAGATGTGCAGATTTTAAATGCAATCCAAAACATGACCAAAAGAGTCTAGACTTCCATTTGCTTTGATCATGGGAAATGGAAAACAAAGCGGCGATTTGAAAAAGTAAACAATTGAATTCCTATGTACAATCCATGATTTAATACGAACGGTGGTAACAGGTTGTTAAATTATAATACCTTCTCAGGAAGAATTAGGTTGCATTGACTCTAAAAGTAGAGATAACAAGTTCAGCGGAGTAGCCAGCTTTCCGGTGGGGGTGGGGGGCGATCTCCATTAAAAACATGGGTTTGCACAAGTATTCTTTATTAGCAACTTATTTATTACTACAAGGAAGATCTCTCTTTTCCGGTGTGACTTAAAAGGTGTCGAAAAATCACAATTATAGTAAAAATAGATTCTTTCGAAATCCATCCTGTAGTCGCTTATTATACACAGGTAAAGTCATATTCATAAAGAACTACGGTACTTACATTCTTTAGTTGTATTATTTTATCATGCTTAATAGAAAAATTCGCACAAATAGTCCGTTATTTATTTGTATGCTCAGTTATAAAATGAGCAGAGCAACTTAGAAATAGCTTAATATAGTCAGAAAGAGGCAATTATAATGTGTGACTATATTGCACACTTACAGAGTATTGCGTTTGCATATATTTGAGTATTCTTAACTCCACGTATAATCAGTGCTTATTTGTGCTGTTTTACAAATAAAGAGGAGCAATACTTGAATATACAGAGTGTTCCATATATGCAGCGAGTATTGTCTCTGTACTGTCTCTGTTTATATGTGCTGAGTATTTTTGCTGATTACTGCACATTACAAGAGATTCTTACAAATAGACACTGCTTATAACAAAGCAATATTCTCTATTTCATATAGTGTATTTAATACCATTCTGATGAAAGACATTTATAGGCACCCTATACCATCCACTACCTAATACCATTCTGATCAGACATTATATGCACCCTATAAAAATCTATAATAACTCAATTACTAGTGGACAGATTTGGTTTCCATTTAATATGCTGATGCCTAGGAACAAAGGAACTTTTATTCAAGAATAGATTTTCAAAATGGCCACCATTTTTTGCAAGAAAACATAATCTTTGATAACTCAAATACCAGTAAACGGATTTCATCCTGTATAATTATGCTGATGCATAGGGACACAATTGCACTGTTCAAGAAAACATTTTCAAGATGGCGGCTGAATTTCAAAATGGCTGCCATTTTTTGTTAAAAAAGAAATATTCAATAACTCAAAAACAGTGAATGGATTTAGTTCAGATTTAATATTCTGAAGCCAAGGGACACTGTTGCTCTGTTCGACAATCAATTTTCAAGATGGCCGCCACTTTTCCCAAAAAATGTAATCTTTCGTAACCCAAATACCAGTCAACGGATTTGGATTTGATTTTATATGCTGATGCCTAGGAACAAAGGAGATCTACTTTTTCAAGATGGCAGCTATATTTTAAAATGGCCACCATTTTTTGTAAACAAGATTGTAGCTGTTTTTCAAAATGGCCACCATTTTTCGTAAACAATGTCATATTTTGTAACTCAAATACCAGTAAATTTTAGAAGCTGATAATGCTCTGTTCAAGATGGAATTTTCAAGTTGCCCTGTCCGAAAAAGAATGTTCAAGATGGCAGCTGAATTTCAAAATGGCTGCCTTTTTTGTAAAAACCCTTATACCAGTGAACAGATTTGGTTCAAATTTTATATGCTGCTACCTAGGGACAAAGGAGATCTATTTTTTCAAAATGGCAGCTATATTTTAAAATGGCCACCATTTTTGGTAAACAAGATGTTGGCTGTTTTTCAAAATGGCCACTATTTTTCATAAACAATGTCATCTTTGGTAACTCAAATAGCAGTGAACGGATTGAATTTTAGAAGCTGATATGCTCTGTTCAAGATGGAATTTTCAAGATGGCCACTTTTATCAAAATGTGTTTTGTTTGGTGGTATTTGCTACTCCGTAGAGTTGCTGTTTTTCTAGTATGGTTCATATTTTCAGGTTCCTGTACCATTCCTTGTGATGTTGATTGTGCAGTTTGGACTGATCATAGTAGACAGAGCCCTCTATTTGAGGAAACAAGTGTTTGCTAAATTCATCTTCCAAATAATCTGTGTCATTCTGGTCCATGCTTGGATGTTCTTCATATTGCCTGCTGTCACAGAGAAGTAAGTAAAGATGCCACATTTGCACAATAACTCTAAGGTGTCAGGGTGACAGGTTGCAAATTTTGGTCACCCTGTACCAATAGATTTAATTACCATATATAGAAGTGCAAGTGTGCTCAAGCCATACACGAAATAACAAACTGAGTTTGTTTTAAGCACATGTATTACCTGAAATGTCTTAATTGATATTGTTTTGAACTTGCACCATCAAACATTTTGTACATGTACGCTGGTGCTCCACGCGATTACGCTGGTTACCGAAACGGTTCGTTTCGGTAACAAATACGATTTTCCTTTTTTCCTTATTTCACACGTTGTAGGCAGAATTCCCACGACATTTTTATCACAAATGTATATCAGTATCATATGTTTAAAAAATGTACATATTTGCGAAAAAATAGTTCAGAAAACAACAGAATCGTCGATTTAATTCCTCACTCCTCATTCCTCACAAGTTACAGAAATGGTATTTTGAAAAACAGTTAAGATCTGCACTTTTAAACCATACCGTTTCTGTAACTTAAGTGAGGAATTAAATAGACGATTCTGTTGTCTTCTGAGCTATTTTTTCGCAAACATGTAGATTTTCTAAAACATATGATACGGATACACGTTTGTGTGAAAAAATATCCTGGGGATTCTGCATACAACGCGTGAAATAAGGAAAAATGAAAAATCTTACCTTCGACGTTCCGACATTTTGTTACCGAAGCGGTTCGTTTCGGTAACCAGCATAATCGAGCGGATCACCAATGATGTAGTCATTTTCTACAGGAACAATATTAAGCCAGTTTGTAGAGAGAGAAATAAAAAGAATTATTTTATCTTCAAACTGAACAATTTTTTTTACTTTGACTGTGTTAACATGTATTGACTTATTTATACAGGCGTTTTACTGATAATGTTCCTGCTCAGTTGTGGTACTTCACGAAATGTGTCTACCTGGGACTCTCGTCATACCAAATAAGGTCAGGTTATCCCACCCGCATCCTTGGTAACTTCCTCACCAAGAGCTATGGCTATATCAACCTCATCCTTTTCAAAGGGTAAGAATTTGTTTCTTTCTGTTTTTGGTGTCTGGTTATTTTTGAAGAGCTAATCTGCATCTTCTATATAATCAGGAGAACTCCTGATGGATATATATGGACACTAAATTCAAATTTCATCTAGGATTCCTCTATATAATCATGAGAACTCCTGATGGATATATATGGACACTAAATTCAAACTTCATCTAGGATTCCTCTATATAATCATGAGAACTCCTGATGGATATATATGGACACTAAATTCAAACTTCATCTAGGATTCCTCTATATAATCATGAGAACTCCTGATGGATATATATGGACACTAAATTCAAACTTCATCTAGGATTCCTCTATATAATCAGGAGAACTCCTGATGGATATATATGGACACTAAATTCAAACTTCATTTTAGATTCCTCTATATAATCAGGAGAACTCCTGATGGATATATATGGACACTAAGTTCAAACTTCATTTTAGATTCCTACTTATTCCATTCCTGCTAGAGTTGCGGGCTTTGATGGACTGGATGTGGACAGACACAACACTTGCTTTAACAAGTTGGTTACAGATGGAGGACATTTACGCTAATATATTTGTGCTCAAGTGTAACAGAACTGCAGAGCAGGTAAGTACATGTACTGTTTGTATTCATACAATTGTTGATGTAGTGATTGGTGCAGTAAGCACATTTACTGTTTGTATTCATACAATTGTTGATGTAGTGATTGGTGCAGTAAGCACATGTACTGTTTGTATTCATACAATTGTTGGTGTAGTGATTGGTGCAGTAAGCACATTTACTGTTTGTATTCATACAATTGTTGATGTAGTGATTGGTGCAGTAACTACATGTACTGTTTGTATTCATACAATTGTTGATGTAGTGATTGGTGCAGTAAGCACATTTACTGTTTGTATTCATACAATTGTTGATGTAGTGATTGGTGCAGTAACTACATGTACTGTTTGTATTCATACAATTGTTGATGGAGTGATTGGTGCAGTAAGCACATGTACTGTTTGTATTCATACAATTGTTGGTGTAGTGATTGGTGCAGTAAGCACATTTACTGTTTGTATTCATACAATTGTTGATGTAGTGATTGGTGCAGTAACTACATGTACTGTTTGTATTCATACAATTGTTGATGTAGTGATTGGTGCAGTAAGCACATGTACTGTTTGTATTCATACAATTGTTGATGTAGTGATTGGTGCAGTAAGCACATGAACTGTTTGTATTCAAACAATTGTTGGTGTAGTGATTGGTGCAGTAAGCACATACACTGTTTTGTATTCATACAATTGTTGATGTAGTGATTGGTGCAGTAACTACATGTACTGTTCGTATTCATACAATTGTTGATGTAGTGATTGGTGCAGTAACTACATGTACTGTTTGTATTCATACAATTGTTGATGTAGTGATTGGTGCAGTAACTACATGTACTGTTCGTATTCATACAATTGTTGATGTAGTGATTGGTGCAGTAAGCACATTTACTGTTTGTATTCATACAATTGTTGATGTAGTGATTGGTGCAGTAAGCACATGTACTGTTCGTATTCATACAATTGTTGGTGTAGTGATTGGTGCAGTAAGCACATTTACTGTTTGTATTCATACAATTGTTGGTGTAGTGATTGGTGCAGTAACTACATGTACTGTTTGTATTCATACAATTGTTGGTGTAGTGATTGGTGCAGTAAGCACATGTACTGTTCGTATTCATACAATTGTTAGTGTAGGGATTGGTGCAGTAAGCACATGTACTGTTTGTATTCATACAATTGTTATCCCAATGAACGAAGTTTGTTAGGGATATAGTGAAGCCCTCCGTCCGTCCGTCCGTCTGTCCGTCAGTCCGTCAGTCAGTCAGTCAGTCAGTCCGTCTGTCCGGAAGATAACTCAAATACTAGTTGACAGATTTTCTTCATATTTAGTGGAAAGATGTATATTGGTGAATAGTTTTACGCAAAAAGATGGCCGCCGCTTTAAAAATGACGGGACTTTTTCGTAAAAATCATAAATTTTTCATTCTAAACCAAAGTAATTAATATTATTGTTTGAAATTTTGGTAGTGTATTCACAACATTTATCTATTTCACATATATTCCATGTTTTTCATCCTGACCCCCAGGGGCCATGTATGGGGGGACAGGAAAACAGAAATTTTCGCTAATTTTTAGATCTTTCTGAAGTATAGCTTTATTATACTCAAATGAAAGGCAATTATGAGTAGATTGCAAATATTGTATCTTTTTTCTGATTCGAGCCTCGTAAAATTCAAAATGGCCGTCTAATGTGCGATTACGCAATAATTTTTCGATCCCTTCAAAGTATGGCTATATTATACTCAAATTGAAGGAATTTTGGAGTAGATCACAATTATGGTATTATTTTTCAGATTTGTACCTCAGAAAATTCAAAATGGCTGCTTTGCAGGAATTCGCAATTCTAAAATCTAATTTTTTCATTTTCAACCAAAGTAATGAGTATAATTGATTGGAATTCGGTAATTGATATTTTGTTCGTTGGGATTTGCTACTCCGCGGAGTTGCCGTTATCTAGTTGATGTAGTGATTGGTGAAGTTACTGAAAGATAAGTTGGCAATGAAGAAACTGATCACAAGAAAGTGACTGTAGAATGTTGTGCCTTATATGCCTTCAGAACTACCCCACACCTAGAGGTACGCCAAGGAAGGCCCTGGTGAAGTATGGATTTGGAGGCTTGCTCTTGTTCATCATCATCTTTATCATCTGGTTTCCACTTCTGCTCTTCTCCTTTGCCAATACTGTCTACGTCCCCAACGCTCCCATAGATGTCTCTATACAGTTGTCCATAGGTGGATTTCAGGTAAAAATATTTTGTTATAGTTAGCTTGTGTCATTGTATTGATTCATGACATTTCTGAAACAGATTGAATAAATAAAAGATGTTATAGGTTAGTCAAGGATAACTGTGTAATTTATAATAAGGTGATAATTATATATCGAGAAATGTATCAGCACATTAAATTAAGTTTAGGTGAATAAAAGTGATGCAAATGAGGCCAACATCATTATGATGCTTAAAATATTAAAAAAATAATATTTTGCTAGTTTTTTTCATTCATTTTGCCTTTTGATCTTTAAGTCATTTTGCCAGTTGATTTAATTATTTTGCCAGTTGATTTCATTATTTTGCCTGTTATTGTCATTCATTTTGCCAGTTCTTTTCTTTATTTTGCCAGTTGATTTCATTTATTTTGTTCATTTTGCCTATAGTTTTCATTCAATTTGCCAGTTGTTTTCATTCAATTTGCCAGTTGTTTTCATTCATTTTGCAAATTGTTTTCATTCATTTTGCCAGTTTTTTCTTTATTTTGCTCGCTGTTTTCATTCATTTTGCAATTGTTTTCATTTATTTTGCAAATTATTTGTATCCATTTTGCCAGCTGTTGTCATTTATTTTGCCAGTTCTTTTCTTTATTTTGTTCACTGTTTTATAATTCATTTTGCAATTGTTTTCATTCATTTTGCAAATTGTTTTCATTCATTTTGCAATATCCACCTATACTAAGTTTACATTATATTGTTCCTCTGCCCTGATTATGCAAATGAAGTAAATCTTACTAAGTGTATGTTTTTCAGCCTTTGTTTCATATGAGTGCCCAGAATAACTTCCTTCAGCAGTATACCCCATATGAGTTCAACAAACTTAGAGATACATTTGCCAGAGATAAGGTAAGCAACAGTATACTGCATATGAGTTCAACAAACTTAGAGACACATTTGCCAGAGACAAGGTAAGCAACAGTATACTGCATATGAGTTCAACAAACTTAGAGATACATTTGCCAGAGATAAGGTAAGCAACAGTATACTGCATATGAATTGAACAAACTTAGAGATACATTTGCCAGAGACAAGGTAAGCAACAGTATACTGCATATGAGTTCAACAAACTTAGAGACACATTTGCCAGAGACAAGGTAAGCAACAGTATACTGCATATGAGTTTAACAAACTTAGAGATACATTTGCCAGAGACAAGGTAAGCAACAGTATACTGCATATGAGTTCAACAAACTTAGAGATACATTTGCCAGAGACAAGGTAAGCAACAGTATACTGCATATGAGTTCAACAAACTTAGAGATACATTTGCCAGAGATAAGGTAAGCAACAGTATACTGCATATGAATTGAACAAACTTAGAGATACATTTGCCAGAGATAAGGTAAGCAGCAGTATACTGCATATGAATTGAACAAACTTAGAGATACATTTGCCAGAGATAAGGTAAGCAACAGTATACTGCATTTGAACTTTACAAACTAAGAGATACATTTGCCAGAGATAAGGTAAGCAACAGTATACTACATATGAATTCAACAAACTTAGAGATACATTTGCCAGAGATAAGGTAAGCAACAGTATACTGCATTTGAACTCTACAAACTTAGAGATACATTTGCCAGAGATAATGTAAGCAACAGTATACTGCATATGAATTCAACAAACTTAGAGATACATTTGCCAGAGATAAGGTAAGCAACAGTATACTGCATTTGAACTTTACAAACTTAGAGATACATTTGCCAGAGATAAGGTAAGCAACAGTATACTACATATGAATTCAACAAACTTAGAGATACATTTGCCAGAGATAAGGTAAGCAACAGTATACTGCATTTGAACTCTACAAACTTAGAGATACATTTGCCAGAGATAAGGTAAGCAACAGTATACTGCATATGAATTCAACAAACTTAGAGATACATTTGCCAGAAATAAGGTAAGCAACAGTATACTGCATATGAATTGAACAAACTTAGAGATACATTTGCCAGAGATAAGGTAAGCAACAGTATACTGCATTTGAACTCTACAAACTTAGAGATACATTTGCCAGAGATGAGGTAAGCAACAGTATACTGCATATGAATTCAACAAACTTAGAGATACATTTGCCAGAGATAAGGTAAGCAACAGTATACTGCATATGAATTGAACAAACTTAGAGATACATTTGCCAGAGATAAGGTAAGCAACAGTATACTGCATTTGAACTCTACAAACTTAGAGATACATTTGCCAGAGATAAGGTAAGCAACAGTATACTGCATATGAGTTCAACAAACTTAGAGATACATCTGCCAGAGATAAGGTAAGCAACAGTATACTGTGTATGATTTTAACAAACTTAGAGATACATCTGCCAGATATAATGTAAGCAATAGTATACTGTGTATGAATTCAACAAACTTAGAGATACAATTGCCAAATATAAGGTTAAGGACAGTATACTCCATATGATTTTACACCTACTTAATCTAAGACATTATGTGTTCTGGAAAAAAATATGAAATAGAATAAGCAAGCCTTAAAACGACGAAAATGCTGTGACTTGGACCTCCATACATGTATATGATTTGTACTTATAGCCTAAAACTGCTTCTAATCTAAATCTCCAAAAACAACAATACTTTCTTCTTAGTCTGCAGCATTCTAATAAATGAGTTCAGAAATGCAATTTATATTATGAATAGATCAAAATCAGTCATAACCCAAATAATGATCCATATAAATCATATACAAATCATATGTTCCTAGGGTGCAGTAGGTTTCTTATCCAGCTACAAACCTGAGGATACAATGCTGGCTAAATTAAATGGTGACTCTACAGCTGTCTGGGGAGTCAGCCCTCCAAGCTTGGAAGAACTTGGAGAAACAGTAAATCCTGCATTGAATCCAAGTCCTGTCATGTTAGATTTTTCTATACAAGTAACTAGGTATGTAAGATAAGCAGCATGAAATTGAAAATCAAGACAAACTTATGATTAAATAATTTGTGGAATATCAGTTATTTGAATAAAATATTTTACTGAAAGCCCAATTTTTGCATAACATTTGGTTGCATAATTACATGAATGTAACTCTATTGCAGTAACTCTATCACAGTCAACTGTGAGTGAAAGACATAATTATTAACATGTAAATCTCTGGTAGAACGTTCTTAGCTTCTCTGTCATCTGATGGAAGATACCGCTTGGAGCACCCCCTTGCTTATGTAGTACATGAACATCCATCTATTTTGCAGAGAGACAAAGCCAGGTGTGTCATCAGCTACTGTATCTAACCAATTCTCTAAGATAATGGACTTTAGTACGAGGGAGAAACTTGCAAAAATGTTAAACATGACAGCAAACTCTACTACTATTAAGGAGAAAATGTAAGAATAAAAGAAATTGCTTTTTATGTCACCACCAAGGGTGAGATTATAGTAATAGTCATATTATTTTGAGACTTGCATTTGGTATCTGTGGTAAGTGATCAATGGCTAACTGTTACACTTTCATTGCCATTTGTAATAATTTCAGGTGGTGACATTTTGTTATGTGAATGCCTGTTAACATTTCAGATTGAATTTATTTTAATACGAGTTATTTTGATTTCTATGTTTTTTGTTAAAGGAAAAAATGATGATACCACACAACTTGAGTCATTTGGGTTTTTGTATTAATTAAATGAATTTTGGAGTCATAAAGATTTGATTGTTATTCATTTATGTTTTAATTTATTTATTTTAGGTTTCCAATAGTGTAAGTTATTGCTAGGTGGTGTTGGAATTATAAATAATGCATGCATGATTCATCACAAATACATTGTTTATACCTTTCGCATTTTCTCTGACCAATTAGAATTCAGTATAGTGCAGGATAATGCACAGTGAGGTTTTTGCCCAATTTAATGTGCAGTTTATTAGCTTTTTAAAACCATGGTCAGAGCAATATCAGGTATATAATGGCAAATGATAAATCACATATTTGGGACAGAACTTTCTTCAAAAAAGGTCGCGGTAGGTTTTTGGTGTCTGTAACAAATTCTTAAAACTTCCAATAACTTAACAAATACTGTCTGACTGACTTCAGTTATTGTCAATATCATCTTTTTCAGAAGTTCGAATCTGACTTTACTTTTAATAGTTGACCTTCAATGACCTTCTCAAGGTAAAAAAAAGAAAAAAAAGGAATTTATTCAACTTGCTTCAAATTGACCAATTTTTTTTTTAATTATCTACAGCTTCTCAGAAGTTCAAATCCGACTTTACATTTGAGATTTCACCTTCAATGACCATCTCACGGTAAAAAAAACGTCTTTTTAACTTGCCTCTGGAAAAAGAAGATTTGTTCAAGAAAGAATTTTCTAGATGGCGGCTGAATTTCAAAATGGCTTTGATAACTCTAATACTAGTTTACGGATTTGGTTCAAATTTTATAAGCTGATGCCTAGAGACAAAGGAGTTGTGCCGAAGGAGAGATTTCAAAATGGCTGCTAAATATTAATTTTTCATAAGAAAAACATAATGTAAAAACACATGTTCAAAAAAAGAATTTTCAAGATGGTGGCCGAATTTCAAAATCGCCACCATTTTTCATAAGATATGTAATCTTTGATAACTCAAGGGTCATTCATAATATGTATATTTATAATAGGTGCATTCATGGTAGGCACATTCATGATAGGTAAATTCATGATTAATACATTTATGATAGGTCATTCATAATATGTAGATTTATAATAGGGTCATTCATAATAATATTATATACATTTAGAATAGGTACATTCATGGTAGGCACATTCATGATAGGTAAATTCATGATTAATACATTTATGATAGGTCAGTCATAATATGTAGATTTATAATAGGGTCATTCATAATAATATTATATACATTTAGAATAGGTACATTCATGGTAGGCACATTCATGATAGGTATATTCATGATTAATACATTTATAATAATAGGTGCATTCATAATATATACATTTTTATAGGTACATTCATGGTAGGCACATTCATGATAGGTATATTCATGATTAATACATTTATGATAGGTCATTCATAATATGTAGATTTATAATAGGGTCATTCATAATAATATTATATACATTTAGAATAGGTACATTCATGGTAGGCACATTCATGATAGGTAAATTCATGATTAATACATTTATGATAGGTCATTCATAATATGTAGGTGCATTCATGGCAGGCACATTCATGATAGGTAAATTCATGATTAATACATTTATGATAGGTCATTCATAAAATGTAGATTCATAATAGGTGCATTCATAATATATACATTTATAATAGGTACATTCATGGTAGGCACATTCATGATAGGTATATTCATGATTAATACATTTATGATAGGTCATTCATGGTAGGCACATTCATGATAGGTATATTCATGATTAATACATTTATGATAGGTCATTCATAAAATGTAGATTCATAATAGGTGCATTCATAATATATACATTTATAATAGGTACATTCATGGTAGGCACATTCATGATAGGTATATTCATGATTAATACATTTATGATAGGTCATTCATGGTAGGCACATTCATGATAGGTATATTCATGATTAATACATTTATGATAGGTCATTCATAATATGTAGATTTATAATAGGGTCATTCATAATAATATTATATACATTTAGAATAGGTACATTCATGGTAGGCACATTCATGATAGGTAAATTCATGATTAATACATTTATGATAGGTCATTCATAATATGTAGATTCATAATAGGGTCATTCATTTATAATAGGTACATTCATGGTAGGCACATTCATGATAGGTATATTCTTGATTAATACATTTATAATAATAGGTGCATTCATAATATATACATTTTAATAGGTACATTCATGGTAGGCACATTCATGATAGGTATATTCATGATTAATACATTTATGATAGGTCATTCATAAAATGTAGATTCATAATAGGGTCATTCATAATATATAAATTTATAATAGGTACATTCATGGTAGGCACATTCATGATAGGTATATTCATGATTAATACATTTGATAGGTCATTCATAATATGTAGATTCATAATAGGGTCATTCATTTATAATAGGTACATTCATGGTAGGCACATTCATGATAGGTATATTCATGATTAATACATTTGATAGGTCATTCATAAAATGTAGATTCATAATAGGGTCATTCATAATATATACATTTATAATAGGTACATTCATGGTAGGTACATTCATGGTAGGCACATTCATGATAGGTATATTCATGATTAATACATTTGATAGGTCATTCATAAAATGTAGATTCATAATAGGTGCATTCATAATATATACATTTATAATAGGTACATTCATGGTAGGCACATTCATGATAGGTATATTCATAGTTTAGTTTAGTTTATTCATTCATTTATATCGGTCAGTCATACAATTCAATAAAATATAAAAAAAAATTAATTACAATTTTACCCAGCCCACCTTGGCCTTATTAACCACTGTTAACAATAGGAAATACAAAATGAATACACGAAAATCAATATCACATGAATTTGCCTTCTCCACAAAAAAGCCATCTTAATCAATTTAACAATTTTAAAGTATGTTCCCTAAAAAGAAATTCAATTTTGCTACCTTCATTATCCAAATCTTTTAAATTTACTTCATCAAAGTATGTTTTTCTCAGATTATCATATCTATTGCAATAGAATAGAAAATGTATTTCTGTTTCAACTGAGTTATCCTTTCATAGTGTACATAATCTTTCTTCCACATGTTCTCCCTTAAATCTGCCTGTCTCTAGCCTAAGTGGCAAAATACCTAGCCTGAACTGAGCTGCTAGACTTCGCTCAAATTTTGAAAAATTCAATGTTAGATACTTATAGGATATCCTATGATTTTGAGGAATATCTTTTTTTTTATCTACGAGGTGATATTGATATCTGCACGAGAGAACAAAGCAAACAAGTATATTATATTATATTATCCTACACTTACAAGGAGTGTACTAAATGTATAATGTCATTGCAAAATGAATTTCATGCCAAATAGAGTCAATTTGGCGGGAAATCAACAAGTGGAGTATATCGTCACAAAATCCTCAGCATATTGGGGTTTCCGGAGTATATCGTCACGATATCCTCCGCCCAGAGTATATTGTTACAATATCCTCCGGTTATCCATTTTGCCAATAAATATCAAATTTATTTTTTATGTTATACATTTAGTACACCAAGTGTAGGATAATTATCTACTTCATACACTTTTTTAAACGTTACATAAGTGGCTTATCATTTATTGCTACTTCCCATGCAGGCACATAGTTTTCCATTAGAGGTGTTTCTAACAGTCTAAGGTTGACAACTTGTTCATCAATAAAATCCTGTTCCATATCTACTAATATAAGAACATTTCTGACATGATTGTCTAATCCATACTGAATCACTTGATTTGCTCCATAAAAATATTTTCTGTGTGATCTGATCATTGTCTAAACTTCAACTCTATGTATTAGTTCAAGAGGTAGCCACCCATCATCTCCAAATATTCCCAATAATAAATAAATATGTTCGTAATAGGCACCTTCAAAATATGTACCTTCGTTATAGGTACATTTATGATAGACACCTACATAGTAGGCACATTCATAATAGGTATATTTGTGGTAGGCACATTCATTATAAATACACTCATAATAGGCACCTTCATAATATATACATTTGAAATATGTACATTCATAATAGATACATTTATAATAGGTTCATTCATAAGAGATATATTTATAAAAGGTACATTCGTGGTAGGCACATTCATAATAATAGGCACATTCATATTAGATATATTTATTATATATACATTTATAGTAGTTACATTTATAATAGGTTCATTCATAAGATATACATTTATAATAGGTACATTCATGGAAGGAACATTCACAATAATAGGGAAATTCATATTAGATATATTTATAATATGTACATTAATGAAAGGCATGTTCATAATAGATACATTTGTAATAGGTACATTCTCCGATTGATTACTGTATTCGGCAGGAAATTTATTTATGGATATTCTTCATTATTTTTTCTTTATAATTCAGAAATTCAATTCAAATCAGAGATTTGCAATGATACAATATAGCAACTTTTGATATTATCAGGAAATGTTTGATTCCAAACGCATTTTCATATCTATACTATGTAGCTTCCTGCAATGAACTGATTGCAGCTTGTTTTTTAGTGGTGACCATGCACAGACACCATTGCATTATGCATTACTACTGTATTAGGAAAAACTTGCCATCTAATATTTGCAATAAAGCAAACTATTCAATAGACTAAATGCGAGTAGAAATAATCTTGATTTACGCCATTAAATATTCAAAATTCAGTCAAAGTGATCTCATATTTGAAATCTACATGTAAAAGTACGTCTAAAAATATGGTTTCGAAAATTGTTTATCAACTTTGAAAATTTATGTTTTTTGAAAATGTGACTTCTTGTTCGGGTTGATTCCCCATAGACCCCATGTTACAAAATCACCAAAAGTGAATTATTTTCTCTTGTATTGAACAGATAACATTTTATTTTACTGGACATATTTTAATATGCATAACTATTAGACACAGATGGGTTATATGAAAATTAGACCACGCAAATCGATGTAATTTAAGTTAAAGGGAACTTTCTACTATACCCGCCATGCTATCTGACCCGAACGAGCCATCTGGTGGTGAATCTGGTAACTACCTACTCGCATCTGCGTTATTATGCACCACTAACTATTAGCCATATTAAGCCAGTTTCAAAGAAATCTTCATTCTAAGTACAGTTGTAATTTAGTTAGATTGAATACAATTCATTTTTCTCAGATATCTGTTTGCTTTTATTGTTTTGTTTCAAATTCAATCAATTAGAGTAGTACTAATTATCCCAATGAACAAAGTTTGGTAGGGATATAGTGAAGGTGTCCGTTCACACGTCCGTCCGGAACATAACTCAAATACTAACAGACAGATTTTTTTCATATTTAGTGGAAAGATGTAAACTGGTAAATAGTTCAACACAAAAAATGGCGGGAATTTTTCACGAGAATCTTATGTTTTTCATTTTAAACCAAAGTTATAAATATTTTGAAATTTTGGTAGTATTTTCACAACCTCTATCTTTTTCACATATGTTCCGTGTTTTTCACCCTGAGCCCCAGGAGCCGTGGGTGTATAGGAGGTCGCGAAAACAGAAATTTTGGTTAATTTTGAGATCTTTCTGAAGTATAGCTTTATTAAACTCAAATGAAAGGCAATTCAGAATATTAAAATATTGTATTGTTTTTCTGATTTGGGCCTCGAAAAATTCAGAATGGCCGCCAAATGTATGATTATGCAATAATTTCCTGATCTATTCAAAATATGGCTATACTATACTATTGAAGGAAATTTAGAGTAGATCACAATTATTATATTGTTTTTCTGATTCATGACTCAGAAAATTAAAAATAGCTGCTAGTGTTGGGTTTTGCAAAAATTTCCCAATCCCTTCAACATATGGCTATATTTTATTATCTGCAAATCAAGGTTAGAGTAAATGGTAAATATAATATGAGACATATACAGATGAATGGAAATTTGTTCGTTTGGATTTGCTACTCCGTGGAGTTGCTGTTTTCTAGTTTGTCACGTTTTATTTCATATATTGTTGTTGTACATGTTGTCATGGTGAGTGGCAAATAAAGTTTAAAGGGTATCACCATTACAACCCCTCACTTGTTCACACAAATAACACATTTAAAATAACACAATCCTCATATAGAGTTATTATTTCAAGACAGATTTGTCAAACTTGATTTTTCACAATTTGTTATAATTTTCTTTTTGAGATGAATTGTCTTGCAGCACAGTTTAACATAGTACCTTGATCAACATGCAATGTTTGACGTGAATGAAGTTTAACATAGTGCCTTGATCAACCTGCAATGTTAGACGTGAATGAAGTTTAACATAGTGCCTTGATCAACCTGCAATGTTTGACTTGAATGAAGTTTAACATAGTGCCTTGATCAACATGTAATGTTTGACTTGAATGAAGTTTAACATAGAACCTTGATCAACATGCAATGTTAGACATGAATGAAGTTTAACATAGTGCCTTGATCAACATGCAATGTTAGACCAAATGAAGTTTAACATAGTGCCTTGATCAATATGCAATGTTAGACCAAATGAAGTTTAACATAGTGCCTTGATCAACATGCAATGTTTGACTTGAATGAAGTTTAACATACATGTAGCACCTTGATCAACATGCAATGTTAGACATGAATGAAGTTTAACATAGTGCCTTGATCAACATGCAATGTTTGACTTGAATGAAGTTTAACATAGTGCCTCGATCAACATGAAATGTTAGACATGATTGAAGTTTAACATAGTGCCTTGATCAACATGCAATGTTAGACATGAATGAAGTTTAACATAGTGCCTTGATCAACATGCAATGATAGACATGAATGAAGTTTAACATAGTGCCTTGATCAACATGCAATGTTAGACATGAATGAAGTTTAACATAGTGCCTTGATCAACATGCAATGTTAGACCAAATGAAGTTTAACATAGTGCCTTGATCATTATGCAATGTTTGACTTGAATGAAGTTTAACATAGTGCCTTGATCAACATGCAAGGTAGACATGAATGAAGTTTAACATAGTGCCTTGATCAACATGCAATGTTTGACTTGAATGAAGTTTAACATAGTACCTTGATTCACATGCAATGTTAGACAAGAATGACGTTTAACATACTGCCTTGATCAACATGCAATGTTTGACTTGAATGGAGTTAAACATAGTGCCTTGATCAACATGCAATGTTAGACATGAATGAAGTTTAACATAGTGCCTTGATCAACATGCAATGTTAGACCAAATTAAGTTTAACATACTGCCTTGATCGACATGCAATGTTAGACATGAATGAAGTTTAACATACTGCCTTGATCAACATGCAATGTTAGACATGAATGAAGTTTAACATAGTGCCTTGATCAACATGCAATGTTTGACTTGAATGAAGTTTAACATAGTACCTTGATCAACATGCAATGTTAGACATGAATGAAGTTTAACATAGTGCCTTGATCAACATGCAATGTTTGACTTGAATGGAGTTAAACATAGTGCCTTGATCAACATGCAATGTTAGATATGAATGAAGTTTAACATAGTGCCTTGATCAACATGCAATGTTTGACTTGAATGGAGTTTAACATAGTACCTTGATTAACATGCAATGTTAGACAAGAATGACGTTTAACATACTGCCTTGATCAACATGCAATGTTTGACTTGAATGGAGTTAAACATAGTGCCTTGATCAACATGCAATGTTAGATATGAATGAAGTTTAACATAGTGCCTTGATCAACATGCAATGTTTGACTTGAATGGAGTTTAACATAGTACCTTGATCAACATGCAATGTTAGACATGAATGAAGTTTAACATAGTGCCTTGATCAACATGCAATGTTTGAATTGAATGGAGTTAAACATAGTGCCTTGATCAACATGCAATGTTAGACATGAATGAAGTTAAACATAGTGCCTTGATCAACATGCAATGTTTGACTTGAATGGAGTTAAACATAGTGCCTTGATCAACATGCAATGTTAGACATGAATGAAGTTAAACATAGTGCCTTGATCAACATGCAATGTTTGACTTGAATGGAGTTTAACATAGTGCCTTGATTCACATGCAATGTTTGACTTGAATGGAGTTAAACATAGTGCCTTGATCAACATGCAATGTTTGACTTGAATGGAGTTAAACATAGTGCCTTGATCAACATGCAATGTTAGATATGAATGAAGTTTAACATAGTGCCTTGATCAACATGCAATGTTTGACTTGAATGGAGTTTAACATAGTACCTTGATTAACATGCAATGTTAGACAAGAATGACGTTTAACATACTGCCTTGATCAACATGCAATGTTTGACTTGAATGGAGTTAAACATAGTGCCTTGATCAACATGCAATGTTAGACATGAATGAAGTTTAAAATAGTGTCTTGATTGACATGCAATGTTAGACATGAATGGAGTTAAACATAGTGCCTTGATCAACATGCAATGTTTGACTTGAATGGAGTTTAACATAGTGCCTTGATCAACATGCAATGTTAGACATGAATGAAGTTTAACATAGTGCCTTGATCAACATGCAATGTTTGACTTGAATGGAGTTTAACATAGTACCTTGATCAACATGCAATGTTAGACATGCATGAAGTTTAACATAGTGTCTTGATCGACATGCAATGTTAAACATGAATGAAGTTTAAAATAGTGTCTTGATTGACATGCAATGTTAGACATGAATGAAGTTTAACATAGTGCCTTGATCAACATGCAATGTTAGACCAAATTAAGTTTCATAGTGCCTTGATCAACATGCAATGTTTGACTTGAATGAAGTTTAACATAGTGCCTTGATCAACATGCAATGTTTGACTTGAATGGAGTTTAACATAGTACCTTGATCAACATGCAATGTTAGACATGCATGAAGTTTAACATAGTGTCTTGATCGACATGCAATGTTAAACATGAATGAAGTTTAAAATAGTGTCTTGATTGACATGCAATGTTAGACATGAATGAAGCTTAACATAGTGCCTTGATCAATATGCAATGTTTGATGTGAATGAAGTTTAGTTAGTGAATCATGTGGAATCATTTTTCAAATTGTTTTATTTTAGAGAGATTAAAGATGTGTTTCCAACATTCTTAAGGGTGCCAGCAGATAAAGAGCCTAAGGCAGTTACAAGTCTGAACAGTAAGTAGTACTAGTTTACATTAATATTTAAAAGAGTAAAATTAAGAAAAAAATTCTGGTATCAAAGAATTATGTAATAGTATTACATGTTTATTACTGTTCTTAGGGCAAAACATTAATTTGTCTACCTCTAGATTGTTCAAACCTTTCACTTAAATGTCACATGTAAACTCCAAATTTTGGCAATTTTTGTATTAAAAATGTTAACCATTTTATCCTCACTGAAATGGTTCAAATGGACCTCCTAAAAAGTGCAATTTTCGTTTAACTGACAGCATGTCAGTTGTCATTTGACAATCAATGTATATGTTTGTCTCTCGTGTTATCAAATGACTGTAAAAGAATCGTGCATTGAAATAAAAAAGAGTATTTTTGATCCCAAGCTGTAATCACCATCAAAATTTGTGACAAATTGAAGTTCGGTAGGGATATAGTGAAGCTCTCCGTCCGTCCATCAGTCCGTCCGTTCTGCCCGGAAAATAACTTGAATACTAGTTGACAGATTTTCTCCATATTTGGTGGAAAGATGTGTATTGGTAAATAGTTTTACGCAAAAAAAAATATTTCAAGATGGGTGCTGCTTTAGAAATGGCGGAGGTTTTTTGCAATAATCTTATGTTTTTCATTTTAAACCAAAGTAATAAATATTATAATTTGAAATTTTGCTAGTATACAAGTATTCACAAAATATATCTTTTTCACATATATTCTGTGTTTTTCACCCTGACTCCCAGGGGCAGTTGAATGGGGGTTGTGAAAACAGAAATTTGGGCTAATTTTGAGATGTTTTTGAAGTATAGCTTTATTATACTCAAATGAAAGGCAATTTAGTATAAAGTACAAATATTATATCGTTTTTCTGATTCGGGCCTCGTAAAATTCAAAATGGCTGCCTAATGTGGGATTCCGCAATAATCTTCTGATCTCTTAAAAGTATGGCTATATTATACTCAAATTGGAGGAATTTTAGAGTAGATAACAAATATGGTATCATTTTTCTGATTTGTGCCTTAGAAAATTCAAAATAGCTGCCTAGAGCAGGAATTCGCCATTACTTGAGGTATATTTAAGTATGGTTACATGATACTACAATGATCTCAAGTGTTTATTGAAGGTAAGAGTAGATGGTTAATATTACATTTTGACTGTACAGATTCATGATTTATATAGTGTTCGTTGGGATTTGCTATTCTGTGGAGTTGCCGATTTCTAGTTGTGGTGGTGATTGGCATTCAATGTCTGGCAATTGGCATATGTAACAAATGGTGGGTGGTGATATTTTGAATGTAAATGCCTTGTTTATAACTTTGGTTTGGCATTCAGTATTTGTGGTCTTGGAATTTAGCATCTTGAACAAAATATTGCCATGAGTAATAGGTGGCATTTAGTTTATTTGAAACATACGATCTAACCCTATGCTATAAGTAATAGGTGATGACATTTAGTTTATTTGACACATACGATCTAATCCTATGCCATAAGTGATAGGTGGTGACCTAACCCTATGCCATAAGTAATAGGTGGTGACCTAATCCTATGCCATTATAATAGGTGGTGACCTAATCCTATGCCATTATAATAGGTGGTGACCTAACCCTATGCCATAAGTAATAGGTGGTGACCTAATTCTATGCCATTATAATAGGTGGTGACCTAATCCTATGCCATTATAATAGGTGGTGACCTAACCCTATGCCATAAGTAATAGGTGGTGATCTAATCCTATGCCATTATAATAGGTAGTAGCATTTAATTTATTTAAATTATAGGATCTAACCCTATGCCATAAGTAATAGGTCGTGATCTTTAGTTTATTTGAAACATACGATCAAATTCTGTGCCATAAATAATAGGTGGTGACCTAATCCTATGCCATAAGTAATAGGTGGTGTCATTTAGTTAATTTGAAACATAGCATCAAATTCTATGCCATAAATAATAGGTGGTGACCTAATCCTATGCCATAAGTGATAGGTGGTGACCTAATCCTATGCCATTATAATAGGTGGTGACCTAACCCTATGCCATAAGTAATAGATGGTGACCTAATCCTATGCCATTATAATAGGTAGTAGCATTTAATTTATTTAAATTATAGGATCTAACCCTATGCCATAAGTAATAGGTCGTGATCTTTAGTTTATTTGAAACATACGATCAAATTCTATGCCATAAATAATAGGTGGTGACCTAATCCTATGCCATAAGTAATAGGTGGTGTCATTTAGTTTATTTGAAACATAGCATCAACTCCTATGCTGAGGGCTGAAGTCAGAAAGTCACTCCATCTTGGTGGGAATTGAAATCATAAAATTTTAGTCGTGCCATTTAATACATTGTTCATATTATATTTCAGATGGGGATTATAGTGACATCATAATGTCTCTGAGACAGGGGACATTCGAGGGGTTATCAGGAGACAGGCAATGGTGGGAAGTCCATGAAAATATTACAAATCCAAGTATTTTCCCTGTGAGGTTACAAAAGGGAGACCACAATCAACTTCTCATTGTGTTGTTCAGTGACAGGGTTGCACCAGCTGCCATTTCATTCCTGTCAAGTTATGGGTAAGTATATTACACCCCTTAAATAATCTCTGTTTAACATTTGGACCAAATTATATGGATAGACTTGCCCATTTTCTGATGAGGGGTGTCATGGTGAGATTCTAAAAATTTATAATGGTTAGAGTTTTTAATAATATTTATATGATTTTAAAAGAGATAAAGAAAACTGTAGAAAAATTGAACCATAACAGCTGTACAGAAAAATCTGGATGTATATGTATTTATATTTGAGCTCCAATAATTATATTTTGGAATGTGCAAGTTGATATCAAATGAAAAGGTTTGGGCAAAAGCTTCATGTCTATGATAAGTCCTCTCCAAATAACTTGGGTATCTGCGAATTTCCAACAATACTCAGATATTCCAAAAACATCGCAGTTCTGGGGTGCTCACTTTAGGTAAACCACAAACAGATTTTACTGTACAACTGTATACATGTATCATGATCAAAAATACTCAACTACTTTAAGATAGTTCATACAATATATATCCAATTATTTCATGAACACTTGTACTCCCAAGACTTGTAGTAGTCATGATAAATATTTAGATCCCATTTTACTAATACATGAGCTTTTTAAGTTAGGTTTTATTTCTAAAAAGTTTGCATGAAGATGCTGGTAGTTTAGTAGAATGTAGAAGGTTCTTTGTTAGTGTGTGTCCCTTTAGGGGACCTTCATTACTTGGACAAAATACATTTAACTGTATTAATGGGTTTAGGTTTTCAAATATGGCATGGTGTAGTTCTGCATGACTCAATTTTCACTGTGCAGCTTTAAGCTTGGTATCAATGTTGATTGTTAAGTGTGAATACATTGCAGTTTGTTTAACCTGCACAAAATAATTCTCTACTGATGACCCAGATTTAGTAAAACTGATGAAAAACAATAATATAAACTTTTCGAAATATTTGATAAAATGAGATAATTGAATAATTATATAATATTGATCCAAGTTTTGGCTTAACTTTACATTTTATTTCATGTATAAAATTTTGGGAATTTGAAAACATGAATTATTATATTTAGCCTATATTTGGATATACAAGGGGCGATCCATATATTCTGATAAAAATGCTCTCATTTTGTGATTTTGCACATATCCCTCTCATTTTTTCAGAACTTGAAGATTATGTAATTACATATACAATGCTAAAATAGTTAAGCTATATCTTAAATTATTTCTGAGATAAGGTTGCCATGTTAACCTGTATTTAGGGTAGGTAGGTCAGTTAATTATAACATATAAAATAGATAAATTTGTTAATTTAATCAATCCTCGGTACCTATTTCAAGCAGATCAAACGCATATCTAGGTCATTGCCAACTATTTGTTGAACTGTTCCATACCCCTGTTCCCCTTGTTTGCTATTTCTACAGTGGAATAGTTCTTTTTTCATAAATTGCATCTCAAATTATCGTAGTGTTCTCTGTCCGCAAGCTCTTCTTGCAACCAGATTGGGAATGATATTCAACAGTGACTTGCCTTTCTCAAATGTACAATACTACTTAGAGATCCTTAGAGCAGATATAACACCTTGTCCATACACTATACGAGTCCATGTATGTCTCTGGCAGTGTCCTCCTACTTATTCTTGATAAGTACGTAAAATCTAATGGTACTCCTAATGTATCTGTTAATGTCACACTCTGCAACAGCCGCACTAACCTCATCCGATCTGTCATTTTGATATTTGGTATGTCTCATGACATGTAATTCCAATTTGCCCATCCTGTCATACATTGGTATTGTGAGTTGTTGTGATGTTATAGTAATCACGAATAAACATTTGTTTAGCAACAAACAACGAGAAACAATACCAAACTATTTTTTTTTTAATTATTATGATATTTTATCCGTTATAATTTAATTGACCTGCCTACCCTTAATACAGGTTAACATGGTAACCCTATCTCTTAATTGATTTAAGATGTAGCTATAATATTTGAGCATTGTACGTGTAATTACATGATCTACATTTTCTGAAAATATGAAAGGGATATGTGAAAAAATAGCAAAATGAGAGTATTTTTATCAGAATACATTGATCGCCTCTTGTACAAACATTACACAACCCTTTACAAATTTCAGAGGTGGAAATTGAAACAGATTTTCCAGTAGATTTTCCAGAATCATACTTTCTATTTGTGCTTATATATTTGGAATACATGTCTTTTATGTATTTCCTCTGCTTAATGTGGAAACATTCTTTTGCTCGTTTATATGTCATTTATTTATGTCAATGTAGATGAATGTCTCCACTGAATGTAAACATGATTTGTTATACTGTGTATGTAATAATGTTGTTATGTAGACAGTATAGACTACAGTAAAAGATCACTAAAAGAGGAGCCACAATGATATTGTAAAACTGTTGAATAGTTAGATGATGCTTATATGTATGTAGAGGTATTGTATTTTTCATTAAATACGAAATGATTAAGTTCAAGTTTAGCAATATTTTGATTTGCTTGAAAAAGATTAACACATTGAATCAGAATATTGCAAAACTTAATAATTTTGTTATTAAACTATTTTTATTTGTAAATTATAGATATTGAAATTATTTTCCATTTTGAGAATAGTGTAAATTTTTTTAAGTAGGCACATAACTATTTTAGTATTGTTCAGAACAAACATATCACAAATGCCTTTCTCAAAGGTATTTTTAAAATACCAAATTGTGCCATAAACGCTCTATTGTTGTCCCTGAATTCAGCATATCCAGGGTGTTTCATAAAAACAATGCATATCTTTGTAACAAATAGAGAAAGACAAATCTTGTTTGGCACTTCTTCTACCACTTTTCTGAAGACAGACTTGCACATTTTGTGTGATGTTGTTGACAGCACATGTGTTTTATTGGAACATAAGTTTCTTATCCTGAAAGATGTCAACAATCCTAGAACCATTGCAGAGCTCAAACTATAGATAATATGAAAGATAAGGGCATTTACCAGTCTGTCAGAAGAGAGGTGGTAATCATTTGGAGCAAATTCTTTATATGGGCAGCAAATGGGTCATACATACGCTACATTGATGAAACTTGCTCAACTTAAAGGACATTGAACTACCTTTACTTCTGCCAAAAAAGATTGTTCAACCTTCATTTGTTAAAAAGATATGCATTGTAAAGTATGTGGGTTGCATCTTTTTTGAAACACCCTTTATTACATTGAAAGAATGATTGGGCCAAAATGTGCTTCTTCAGTGTGATCAATGGTAAATGCATTCAGTAAAGTGAGCAATTGATATTACTGCATCTGGAGTCACAATTGCTCCAATTTTGAGAATACCTTAATTTTAAGCAATGAAGACTGAGGCACATTTTCTTCCAAATGGATAGCATCCAGAATCCAAAAAATATTTGTGTACATTTAAAAATACAATTAACTTATGTTTACACATAAATAGTTTGGATCCTATGTTACAATTGATTGCTTTTTGAATATACACTCCCCTTTGGAAGTTTGGTAATTGGAAGTCATCATTGGATGGCATATCAAGAAGCTGTCAATGTTTGGATCTGAATTCTGCTCATTTATTACGATGTTAACAATATTTTGATGAGTACAAAATCACCAAACATAAATGGGCTTTGCTGAGTGAGCCAAAAGGGAGCTTGCCATATTTATGGGAGTGGGGTGTATATTACTGTTGTATAATATTCTTTTCATGCAAACCTTCAAGCAGAATTGGAAATTCCCTCAATTCTAAGCTGAAAATGACCTCCTTTGTCTTATTGAATTCTGGGAAGCAGTGCTTTTTGTGAGGATGTAGGTAATTTTTTTGTCATCAACCAACAAAATGTTTCAACAACAATCAGAAGGAGTGATTCACTCCACATAAGGAGATGGCATTTTTATCACTGATTGATAAAATGATAATGGCATCTCTAAACTGGGAAAAGTCCTATATTCATGTATTATAACACACCAGGGATTGTTTGGCTAATAAATTTAGACATTCATATCTTTGACCATGAGTACTATTTTCTCACCATAAATTCAATATCTCTCATCAAAATCACTGGTGATCCACTCGATTATGCTTGTTACCGAAAAAGGTACGGTTTTTCTTTTTTCTTATTTCACGCGTTGTTTGACAATATTATTTTTGGAAGGTTTCTAAATTTAGAACGTGACGTCACTACTGAATTAGAACGTTCAATATCAGTAGCGTAAATTAAACCCCAGGTTTCAAAGATTGGTGTACATCTGTCCGTCTGTCCATCCGGGCAATAACTCAAATACCATTGGCCCGATTTTGTTCATGTTTTGTACACAAATTCCCAATGGGGGTAGAAGTTCTGCTCGAAAACTGATTTTCAAAATGGCCACTCATTTAAAAATGGCGGCTATTTTTTACAGTAATTTAGGTACTTCATATAAAACTGTAATAGCAATATGTTTTAAATGTAAAAAAGTTATATAGGACATTGATTAAACTAGAAATGTAAATACAGAAGAAATACATGGCAGCCATCTTGAAAAATGGCTGCCTTTGCACGTCATTTTACAATTTTTGCTGTAACTTTGAAAAGTAGTGGAGCGATTTTTTCATATTTGGTATGTGAATACTTTAAGCATGGCACATTGTCTAATGACATTTTTGGTAGTAGGCCGGCATTTTTACGTGTGTTATTTAACATTTTTTACTGTAAGTCAAAAAGTAGTGGAGCGATTTTGTTCATATTTGGTATGTGAATACTTTAAGCATGGCCCAATGTCTAATGACATTTTGGGGATTATTTGGGTAGTACACATTTTTATTATTTTACATTTTTTACTATAACTCAAAAAGTAGTAGAGCGATTTTATTCATATTTTATATGTGAATACTATAAGCATGGCACATTGTCTAATAATACTTTGGGGAGTAGGCAGCCATTTTTCACGTTCTTTACGTTTTTTAGTATAACTTGAATAAGTATTGGAGCGATTTTGTTCATATTTGATATGTGAATACTTATGAGCCTTGCAGACTGTCTCATGACACTT